GTGTCGTATAGTGTTGTATAGTGTCGTATAGTCTTGTATAGTGTCGTATAGTGTTGTATAGTGTTGTATAGTGTTGTATAGTGCTGTATAGTGTCGTATAGTCTTGTATAGAGTTGTATAGTCTTGTATAGTGTTGTATAGTGCTGTATAGTCTTGTATAGTGACGTGTAGTCTTGTATAGTGTTGTATAGTGTCGTATAGTCTTGTATAGTGCTGTATAGTGTCGTATAGTCTCAGGGCCGCCCAGAGGTTGGCGGGGGCCCGGGGCAAATTTTTTTTAGGGGGCCCTATCTAAAAAAATTTTTCCGGAAAAATTTTTCCGGAAATTATTTTGGCGACCTTCCCCCCCCCCGTCGCCAAAAAAATTTCGGTCAGTGTACCATTTTAGGAGTAAAAAATTTTTTTCGGATGCAAAATTTTGCCGGACGAGTACGATGCAAACGCTTTCGAGTGACTTTATCTCATTTTTTTAGGCCAAAATTCGGTACTTAGCCCAAGAAAACAGATATCTAGTCCTTTGCGCGGGAATATTTAACACACAAAAAAGGCGGGGGTCCCTACAAAAATTTTTCAGGGGCCCCCAGCAACTCGGGGCCCGGGGCAAATTGCCCCCTTTGCCCCCCCCTCTGGGCGGCACTGTATAGTCTTGTATAGAGTCGTATAGAGTCGCATAGTGTTGTATAGTGTTGTATAGTGTTGTATAGTGTCGTACAGTCTTGTATAGTGTTGTATAGTGTTGTATATTGTTTTCTAGTGTTGTATAGTGCTGTATAGTCTTATATAGTGTTGTATAGTGTCGTATAGTGTTGTATAGTGTTGTATAGTGTCGTATAGTCTTGTATAGTGTCGTATAGTGTTGTATAGTGTTGTATAGTGTTGTATAGTGCTGTATAGTGTCGTATAGTCCTGTATAGAGTTGTATAGTCTTGTATAGTGTTGTATAGTGCTGTATAGTCTTGTATAGTGACGTGTAGTCTTGTATAGTGTTGTATAGTGTCGTATAGTCTTGTATAGTGCTGTATAGTGTCGTATAGTCTTGTATAGAGTCGTATAGAGTCGCATAGTGTTGTATAGTGTTGTATAGTGTTGTATAGTGTCGTACAGTCTTGTATAGTGTTGTATAGTGTTGTATATTGTTTTCTAGTGTTGTATAGTGCTGTATAGTCTTATATAGTGTTGTATAGTGTTGTATAGTGCTGTATAGTGTCGTATAGTCTTGTATAGAGTCGTATAGTGTTGTATAGTCTTGTATAATGCTGTATAGTGCTGTATAGCGTTGTATAGTGTTGTATAGTGTTGTATTGTCTTGTATAGTGTTGTATAGTGTTGTATATTGTTTTCTAGTGTTGTATAGTGCTGTATAGTCTTATATAGTGTTGTATAGTGTTGTATAGTCTTGTATAGTCTTGTATAGTCTTGTATAGAGTCGTATAGTGTTGTATAGTGCTGTATAGTGTTGTATAGTGTTGTATAGTCTTGTATAGTGTTGTATAGTGCTGTATAGTGTCGTATAGTCTTGTATAGAGTCGTATAGTGTTGTATAGTCTTGTATAATGCTGTATAGTGCTGTATAGCGTATTATAGAGTTGTATAGTGTTGTATAGTGTTGTATAGTCTTGTATAGTGTTGTATAGTGTTGTATATTGTTTTCTAGTGTTGTATAGTGCTGTATAGTCTTATATAGTGTTGTATAGTGTTGTATAGTGTCGTATAGTCTTGTATAGTCTTGTATAGAGTCGTATAGTGTTGTATAGTGCTGTATAGTGCTGTATAGTGTTGTATAGTGTTGTATAGTGTTGTATAGTGTTGTATAGTGCTGTATAGTGTCGTATAGTCTTGTATAGAGTCGTATAGTGTTGTATAGTCTTGTATAATGCTGTATAGTCTTGTATAATGCTGTATAGTGCTGTATAGTGTTGTATAGTGCTGAATAGTGTCGTATAGTCTTGTATAGTGTTGTATAGTGTCGTATAATGTTGTATAGTCTTGTATAGTGCCGTATAGTGTTGTATAGTGTTGTATAGTGTTGTATAGTGTTGTATAGTGTTGTATAGTGTTGTATAGTGTTGTATAGTGTCGTATAGTCTTGTATAGTCTTGTATAGAGTCGTATAGTGTTGTATAGTGCTGTATAGTGTTGTATAGTGTTGTGTAGTCTTGTATAGTGTTGTATAGTGCTGTATAGTGTCGTATAATCTTGTATAGAGTCGTATAGTGTTGTATAGTCTTGTATAATGCTGTATAGTGCTGTATAGCGTTGTATAGTGTTGTATAGTGTTGTATAGTCTTGTATAGTGTTGTATAGTGTTGTATATTGTTTTCTAGTGTTGTATAGTGCTGTATAGTCTTATATAGTGTTGTATAGTGTCGTATAGTGTTGTATAGTGTTGTATAGTGTCGTATAGTCTTGTATAGTCTTGTATAGTCTTGTATAGAGTCGTATAGTGTTGTATAGTGCTGTATAGTGTTGTATAGTGTTGTATAGTCTTGTATAGTGTTGTATAGTGCTGTATAGTGTCGTATAGTCTTGTATAGAGTCGTATAGTGTTGTATAGTCTTGTATAATGCTGTATAGTGCTGTATAGTGTTGTATAGTGTTGTATAGTGTTGTATAGTGTTGTATAGTGTTGTATAGTGTTGTATAGTGTTGTATAGTGCTGTATAGTGTCGTGTAGTCTTGTATAGTGTTGTATAGTGTTGTATAGTGTCGTATAGTCTTGTATAGTGCTGTATAGTGTCGTATAGTGTTGTATAGTGTTGTATAGTGTCGTATAGTGTTGTATAGTGTTGTATAGAGTCGTATAAAGTCGTATAGTGTTGTTTAGAGTCGTATAGTGTTGTATGGTGTTGTATAGTGTTGTATAGTGTTGTATAGTGATGTATAGTGCTGTATAGTGTCGTATAGTCTTGTGTAGTGCTGTATAGTGTTGTATAGTGTCGTATAGTGTTGTATAGTGTCGTATAGTGTTGTATAGTGTTGTATAGTGTCGTATAGTCTTGTACAGTGTTGTATAGTGTCGTATAGTCTTGTATAGTCTTATATAGAGTCGTATAGTATTGTTTAGTGTTGTATAGTGTTGTATAGTGTCGTATAGTCTTGTATAGTGTTGTATAGCGTTGTATAGTGCTGTATAGTGTCGTATAGTCTTGTATATAGTCGTATAGTGTTGTATAGTGTTGTATAGTGTTGTATACTGTTGTATAATGTTGTATAGTGTTGTATAGTGCTGTATAGCCTTGTATAGGGACGTGTAGTCTTCTATAGTCTTGTATAGTCTTGTATAGTCTTGTATAGTGCTGTATAGTGTCGTATAGTCTTGTATAGAGTCGTATAGAGTCGTGTAGTGTTGTATAGTGTTGAATAGTGTTGTATAGTGTTGCACAGTGTTTTCTAGTGTTGTATAGTGTCGTACAGTCTTGTATAGTCTTGTATAGTGTCGTATAGTCTTGTATAGTCTTGTATAGTGTTGTATAGTGTCGTATAGTCTTGTATAGTGCTGTATGGTGTTGTATAGTGCCGTATAGTGTTGTATAGTCTTGTATAGTGTCGTATAGTGTTGTATAGTGTTGTATAGTGTTGTATAGTGTTTTATAGTGCTGTATAGTCTTATATGGTGTTGTATAGTGTCGTATAGTCTTGTATAGTGTCGTATAGTGTTGTATAGTGCTGTATAGTGTTGTATAGTGTTGTATAGTGTTGTGTAGTGTCGTATAGTCTTGTATAGTCTTGTATAGTGTTGTATAGTGTTGCATAGTGCTGTATAGTGTCGTATAGTCTTGTATAGAGTCGTATAGTGTTGTATAGTGTTGTATAGTGTTGTATAGTGTTGTATAGTGTTGTATAGTGTTGTATAGTGTTGTATAGTGTCGTATAGTCTTGTATAGTGACGTATAGTCTTGTGTAGTGTTGTATAGTGTTGTATAGTGCTGTATAGTCTTGTATAGTGTCGTATAGTCTTGTATAGTGTCGTATAGTATTGTATAGTGTTGTATAGTGTTGTATAGTGTCGTATAGTGTCGTATAGTCTTGTATAGAGTCGTATAGAGTGGTATAGAGTCGTATAGTGCTGTATAGTGTTGTATAGTGTCGTATAGTGTTGTATAGTGTTGTATAGTGTCGTATAGTCTTGTATAGTGTTGTATAGTGTCGTATAGTCTTGTATAGTGTAGTATATATGTACAATAGTGTATGTTTATCTATATGGTACACTATAGTACAGATTACATGACGTTTACTATATTGGTGCGCGAAACATGGAACGATAACCCAAAACACGGCATTATCTCAAAAACAGGGGGGTGAGAACGCCGTCTGAAGCTGAGGATCGCCGTTGGCCAGTGGTAATTACCATAAGGATTTAGGATCAGTGACGCCATTCTGGCGTCAACAAACGTGAAAATCCTCCATGGTTTTGGCTTCAGCTTTTGACGCCGAGTACGTCCTCCAGTTACAGTAGAGACCTTACAATTTTAGGACGGCAACGCAACGGCGACGGCCAAAACAAACTCCTTCAAATAAATGGTAATAAAGACAGTTCGTCGTATATTATCAATCGTATGAATTTAATACAGTTTTAGAAGTTGAAGACATGGGTTTTATGGTTGGGAAGAGTTCTGCTAAACCCAGTTTGATGTTGCACTTGTTGTGGCTTGGAATGCAGCCGTTGTATCAAGACGTGAAAATCTGTGATTTAGCGTTGTAAACAGAGCGAGGACAATGTCTAAATTATTCATATAATTTATTGTAATTTTTCAATTCTTTTCAATGATCTATTGTATTTGGTAGCCGTTGCCGTCGCGTTGCCGTCCTAAAATCGTAAGGTCTCTAGTATAGCACACCATGACACCATTTTAGACTTCGCTAATGCTTTCCTTTCCTTTCTCCGGCTGTAAATAGCCGGGTGGAATTAGTACCCTCGCCCTGGGCGTACGCCCGAAACAGCGCTCTGTGCCGTTGATTCGGCGATAAATTTAATTCGGGCTGCTATCTGGATTGCTTACCTGCGTTTGTAGCCCATTCTGGAGCTGAAGATGTATCTAAAATGAACAAATTCGAGGCAGAGTAAACATAGATGCGATTCTAATACGATCAAGGTTGATTGAGCCAGAAATAATATATGTGATTTACAACTTTACATGCTGTAGTAATTAAGAAGCACTATTACGCGTGGTATTTTTAGAAAGTACACAATTAGAACTACGAATGCCTCTAGTTGTCTTCATATCACCCATGTCTGATCACGGCGCACAACCGAAGTGAACGAGTTTTTAATGATGGAAGAAAACCAGAGTTGATGAAAGTTGCAACTCTTGTTTGCTTTTGACGCATACACTCTCATCCAGGACCGCCCAGAGGGGGATGGGGGCAAACGGGGTAATTTGCCCAGGGCAACCAGTTAAAGGGGCCCCCAAAATTTGCAAAAGAAGGGGGCAAAGGTGTAAGTACAAAAAAACTAGTCGGAACGTTTTTTATATAAGTAATGGTATGAGAGAAACATTTTAGACTTACGTTTAGTAGTATTAAGGGTCCGAAAAAATGTAGTTAGCCGCGATTTTATACGTATTTGTCTGGAAAATATTTTTGAACCTTAATTTTCCTGCTGTATATGCCCGGAAAAAGATTTTTTAACCATAATTTCCCTGCTGTATGTCTTTTTTGGGGTATGTCGGGAAAATTTCTTTTACCCCCCCCCCCCTCCCCCCGCCAACAATTTTGGGAAAAAATAAGGGCTCCTAATTAAAAATTTGCCCCGGGCCCCCGAATTTCTCTGTGCGGCCCTAGCTGTTCTCATCAACTCTCATTAAAGCTGAGCTGGGTTAACTCTGATGAGAGTTGATGGGAATTAATTGACGAAGTAATTATATAATCAACTCTCATATAACTTTTGTTCTCATTCTGTGAGACCTGGGCACGAGAGCTGAGATAATTCTTATGCAAACACTCGCTTGTCAACTCGCAGCTCATCTTGCCAACTCATTTTGTTTAATTGACTGATGCTTTGGGCAAATTTTCAAGCATCGGGTAAATACCAACCTAAAATAATCGTGTTTTTATGAGTGGCTTCATAAAACAATAGTGATCAGTTTGTATGACTCGCTCTTTGGAAAGGTAATTTCAATATATTGTTCAATGTCTTTCATTGTTATCTTCAACCAATCACAAACTCGTTCGTAGGCAAGCACATCATGATCAAGACAGCTTAAGCCTGCCGCACACGAGAGCTATCTGCTGAGCCAAAAGTTACTCGTGCCTGTTAGCTCAGCTGATAGCTCACCGATCAAACATGTTTGATACATGAGAAAAGGTTGCATGAGGCAAAAAACTCAGTAAAATGTACGCGCACACGGTGAGCTATCGGCTGAGCTAACAGGCACGAGTAACTTTTTGCTCAGCAGATAGCTCTCGTGTGCTGCAGGCTTAAGGGTAGTCACTCATGTAAGTAGATCGCTGCCATGGACCAGCTTCAGGTCGGATTTTAATGAAAAATTAGTAACGACTCGCGTGTATAAAACTCTTTAATTCAACGTTCACGGACAGCGAATTACTGCATCTCCCACGCACTGCCCCAATTATAATGTAATTACCTGCAGAGCTTGCGTTTCCATTGAAATACCAGCATTCTGGGGAATCACCAGCATTCCTAGACGGTTGTAGTTCGCAACGAAAGGCCTTTTTTTCCGGGTGGTAGGGGTGACCTACTGCATACCACCTTACGAACATTTCCCACAGTTCTCCACACATATGAGTCAATTCAAGACACGATTCACGACATATCTTTTGCTCTTTAAACACGCTATCGGTTCGATCACAACTCGGAAAGTTTAGATGACAATACCCTATGGCGACAGCTTGTAGGCATTTTCTAACAGTGTTGATGTCAACTTCTAAATTACGACTTATACTTGATGGGCCGCCCAGCTTCATAATTATATCATCGTCCTTGTTAGCTTCATGGTTTCTATTATTTTGCTGGTCGGGCGTCTGATATACGTAGTTGGGTAAAGCGATTCCATAATTTTGACAGAAAGGTCGGGTAAAGTTTACCAAAGGATAACAAGAACTCGAGTTTAGCGTTGGTTCGGCTTTGGCAGGAATGCACGCTCTATTCAAAGATTGAACAAAGATATAATAGTTGTAAATCTACGTCCATGAAACCTTTCTTCAAGCTTGTGTCTGGTAATGGCTGAATACACGGCAATAATTAAGAACCACGCTTCACCCACACAATGATGCCTTAAAGCCTTGTACACACGACTACGAGCAAGTTTTCCTTGATACGTTTTTCCTTGGCAAGTTTTATTTGTATACGACAAAACTTGAAAAATTTTCCCTTTGCAAAGAACTTTGTCCAAACTGAGCTATAGTCAGAGAAATTTGTTCGTGTGGATGGAGAAAACTCGATACGCTTCAAGGCCGTCGGAAGTGGAGCGCTGGGGGGGCTGGGGGGCTTGAGCCCCCCCCCCCAATTGTCTACGTATTTAAATTGCGCGGGCTCATAAATCTTGTTAAGTTTCGATTCCAGCTAGACACTTCTTTTTAACTAGACTGTGTGTTTTCCAGCGAGTCTAGTTAGAATCGCATGTCTAGCTTTCGGGAATAAGCGCCTTTTATCGTTTCCCATCATTTCATCATATCCATGCAGTTATTTCCACTGGCATGCAATTTTACAGTATTTTTGAACACAATATTGTACCTGTTTTTGTCTTGGAGATGGTGTTCACCTGTTAATGTGGGGAAAACGTTAAATTAATATTAAAGTCTAGGTTACACGTGGGATGTTTTTCAGGCGCTGACAATGAAACGGGTTTGCTGGGGCATGAGAAGAAATCTGTGTGACGCAATCCCACGAACTGGCGGTAACAAGATGGTAACAAGATGGCGGCCAAAGGCCCTGTTACACGGTGCAATTTTTCATGCAACTTGTCTCGCAATGGCATTGCGAAACAGGTTGCACGAGTCATTGCACCGTTTAACATGCCTTGCAATGGTCAAAATCGTTGCGAGACAAGTTGCATGAAGCATTCGGCACTGAGTAGAAGTCGGTTCTACTTTTGGCAACGATTGCACTAATTATTTTTAGCATTGCAGCGTGCATGTAACATGGCTTCGTGCAACTTGTCTCGCAATGGTTATAGCTTGGAGAGTTCCTATTGGCTCACCCCAGTACACGCTTTACTTTAATTAAAACAGTTTAGCGCCAAATAACGCCTCTCCCTAGTCTCTTCGCATGCCTCTGTCCCCTATTCAATTTCAATTCAATTTATTTACCACTTCTTTCAGTTATTTACATTTATTATTGTAATAATATTTAGGTAGATGTTTATATTTATGTATGTCAAATTGAAAGTGGCGAGAAGACCTCAGGAAGTCAAAGACTTGTATTAAGAGGCCATCTCATTGTTTTTCAGAACAAATTTATTTGTTCAGTGTTTATAAATGAAGCTCCTATTGAATTGTACATGCACTAATTGTTTTCAATCAAATATTTTTTCAATTTTCTTTTGAAATAAGAAGTGATATTTATTCCTGTTATTGATGAAGGAAGACGATTCCATATTTTCGGACTCTGATGTAGGATAGTGAATTGTTTTGTGTTAGTTCGACATGCATGAGACCTATAATATTTGGCCGCAGCTCTAGTATTATGATCGTGAACTTGATTGTTCGAAATAATTAAGTTGTCAAAACATTCTGGTAATAAATCACGGCTATAAATATACATAAATATACCTATACAATGAGTATTTAGTTTGAAGATATCTAATATATTTAATTTTTTGAAAAGCGGAGCAGAATGAGCACGGTAATCTGAGTTAGTCATTGCTCTAACAGCTCGCTTTTGCAAAAGATAAATTCTCTTCACATTAGTTTCATATGTTGAAGACCAGACTATATTACAATATGTTAGATAAGGGTATATTAAACTATAATATAAGGAACGTTTTGTAAGCAATGATATTAAGAGAAATCGCGAGCAATAGATTATTCCAACAGATTTTGATATTTTCTTACTAATATAATTTATGTGGATTTTCCATGACAAATTTTCATCTAAATATACACCTAAGAATTTTA